GGAAGACTGGTCTTTTCAACAAATGGCATTGGGACAGCTGGATAGCCACATGCAAAAGAATGTATTGGAACACTTGGCTCACACCATAATGTTTTATAAGATTTAAAGATTCTTTTGAGGGTGGGACACAATTGTAATGGATAGATGGAAAGCAAAATTCTTTGTTCCTTAGAGCTCCAAGTGAGAGAAAGCTGCCACAATCCCCCATGTGGCCTACACATTGGGGATTGCACTTGGGGACAGAGTAACAGCAAGCTGGAGCTGTAGTAGGAAGCTTAGTGGGGCAAGTGGGGTGAGGTTAGTTAGATTTCATAGGCTTCCTTTGGATTGGCTAATCTGAATAATTCTGTGGGCTCTGGGGCATAGGGACTATAGCTGGTTGTTTGGTATCTGTCTCTGGCGCAATTCGAGAAGGCACGTGATGGCCCCAGAGTATGAAGCTAATAAGGGAATGGTTAGGATATGGACTTTATCAGTTGCTCAAGAAGAATTGACCAGTCTCTAGCCAGTAGGCGGTGCCTCAGAACTGGGTCAAGACAGCATTTCAAGAAAAACCCCAGAGCTGCATTACACCATATATAAAAATTAACTCAGAATGAGTCAAAGACCTAAATGTAAGAGCTAAAGCTATAAAACTCTTAGAGAAAAATAGGCATAAGTTTTCATGACCTTGATTTGGGCAATGGTTTCTTAGATATAACACCAAAAGCGCAAATAACAACACTGGGCTTCATCAAAATTAAAAAGTTTTGTATAAAAACAAATCTCACAGAATGGAAGAGAATATCTGCAAACCACGTTTCTAATAAGGCACTTAGATCCAATGTAGTCAAAGGATTTACAGTTTGTTTTTATCCCTAATTTTTTGTCTGCTTGGTGTAGGAGATACTGTGAGCTATGCGTGTTCGGTTTGCTTTTTATGTTTCAAGGCAGTACTATTAGGTGTATACAGAGTTGAGATTGTTTTGTCATTTTGTTGGATTGTTCATTTTATTTTTAGGTTGTATCTTTTTATTTAGTGTATTTCGCTTTTTTTTTTTTTTAAGGTTTTATTTATTTATTCAAGAGAGGCAGAGACACAGGTGGAGGGAGAAGCAGGCTCCATGCAGGGAGCCTGATAAGGAACTCGATCCCAGGTCTCCAGGTTTCGGCTCTGGGCTGAAGGAGGTGCTTAACCACTGAGCCACCTGGGCTGCCCTGTATTTCACTTTAAATTTTGTTTTAGCTGATACTAATATTGCTCTATCAACTTTCTTTTGGTTAATATTTGCATGGTATATCTTTTTTCCATCCCTTTACTCATCTTTTGTGTAGGTAAGTCTTCTAGGGAACATATAACTAAAGTTTTTTTTTATTGTTTTGTAGAAATATCTTTCAATCAACAAATATATTTTAAAAATTTATATTCATTCTGATAATCTCATTTTATAATTCATACATTTAATCCATCTCCATTTATGATAACTAATAATGAACATATTGTCTATGTATTTTATAACTATTTTCTTTTTACCTTTTTTTGATTTTTTTCCTTCTTTCTACTTTCCTTTGGATTGAGACACTTTTTTTTTTTTACATTCCTTCTGCTATTTTAGAGGCCACAGATTTTAGTTCTATTTTTTGTAGTTAGCTTTATTATTTTATGGAAATTTGAACATTAAAAAAGGACAATAATGTAATGAATTCTCTTGTATCTAACCCAATTTTAAGTTACCAATTCATGGGCAATCTCATTCCATATATGCTTCCTTCCACCACATTTCTCTCTTCCTAAATTATTTTGAAGCCATTCCCAGACATCATGTAATTTCACCCATATGTTTCACTGGTATACTATGGTACATGTGTTTGTATATATATACTATTACAAAGAATTTGCTGTCAGTTTAACTGAAGGTGGTTATTGTTTTTCCCTGAAAGCTCCTAAGATCTTCTCTGTATCATTCATGCAATTAAATTTGTGAGTTACATATACATGTATTGGTTCATATTGATCTTGATTAATTCTTAAGTTTACTTTTAGCGTGAAGACTTAAGTTTTCCTTCAATTATGAAAAATTATCAGTTATCTTTTCAAATACTGCTCCTGTCACTCCATCTTGTCTCTTTCTTTAGCTCCGTTTTGTTAGGATATCTCAATCTATTCTCCATCTTTTAAGTTTTGCTTTAATTTTTTAAAATCTTATCTACACCAGATCCTGCCCTGTGCTTATGCCTTTAAATGCCAGTGGAATCTTGCCTGTGAACTCAGTCACCAAGCTTTCTTGTGTTCCATTGGCAATACCAAGGAAGACCAATTTAGGCCTAGCCATTGAGAAAGGGCCAGGTTTCCCTTCTAACTGAAATGTTTATTAGTGAGGGAATGAGTAGATCGCCTTTTGTATTTCTATAAAGTAGTTCTTTAGAACACTGTGTAGTAGTTAAAAAGTTGTTCACCTGTATGTCAGCTGACTTAGAAAATTTGCTAAAATATTTTAAGTAAAAAACAAAAATAATGCATACAGGAGATATATATATGCATATTTAAAACTTTAATTTATATACATATTTGTCAAACTGTAAAGTTTATTTCTTTTTAAAGATTTTTACTTATTTATTCATGAAAGACACATAGAGGTAGAGACATAGGCAGAGGGAGAAGCAGACTCGGAGCCCAATGCAGGACTTGATCCCAGGACCCCAGGATCACATCCTGAGCAAAAGGCAGACCTCCATCACTGAGCCACCCAGGCGTCCCAAACTGCAAAGTTTAGAGCCAGCTGTCAAGTTTATTGGACACATGGTCCAACAAAAGACCACCTCACTTGTGATACCATCTGCAGATTTAATGGTGTTCTAAACCCTCATGCTCAGTACTTCACTAGAAATGCTGACAAAACTCAGTGAAAGTTATTATACTCACGGTTGTGGTTTATTACAATCAAAATCAGCCAAAGGAAGAAACACATAGGGCAGAGTCTGGGAGGATTCTAAACGCAAAGCTTCCATTTTCCTCAGGACCATTCTGGTATCAATGTGTGACAATATGCATTGAGTATATTGCCAACCAGGGACTCTAACACAAACTTTAGTATTGAGGTTTTTTTGGTACTTTATTACTTAGCCTGATTGATTGACCACATGGTTGAACTTTCTCCATATCAACTGATATCCTGTGACCCACAGCTCCTATCTTAAATCACATGGTTTCTGGAATAGCCAGCTCCTACTCTAAGACTTGGGTATGGCCAGCTTACTTTAAGAATCAATCTGGTCAGCCTCTACCCTAAACAAAGACACTCCTCTCAGATTACATAGGTTATCTCCCAGATGTAGAGGCAAGACCTATCTTTAGAAAAGGCCAAATTCTTTACTAGTACACATATATGTAAACTTACAAATTTATTTCAGGATTTGGAAGAATGTGTGCTGAGTTGAAGATAGTAGTTCCCTTTTGAGAGAAAAGTGATCGTGGTGGTAGTAAAAGGGTACTTAGCTTTATCTGTATCCTTAAATTTTCATGTACTCTGTAATTTTTAAATTATTTTAAAATGGAAAGATTGAATTTAGACTAACTTTGGGAAAATGGAAAGAGGTTACATTCAATAGAAAGAAATTCATTATGTCCAGATATGGAAAGATAAGATATCAGGAGGAATTCTACTATTCTGAAAAAGATGAGAGTATTTGGAGATACATGAAGTAACCATGATCATAGTCTGGGCATGACTTTGACATAGCTATCAAGTTTAAAATGAGGGATCCCTGGGTGGCGCAGCGGTTTGGCGCCTGCCTTTGGCCCAGGGCGCGATCCTGGAGACCCGGGATCGAGTCCCATGTCGGGCTCCTGGTGCATGGAGCCAGCTTCTCCTCTCTGCCTGTGTCTCTGCCTCTCTCTCTCTCTCTCTCTCTGTGACTATCATAAATAAATAAAAATTAAAAAAAAAAGTTTAAAATGAAACATTGTCAGGAGTGTACAAGTAGAATGTACACTATTTGAAGAAATCATCATTTATTTATAGTAATAGCTAGTATCCTCCTTATCGGTTGTTTGTCAAGTTTTAGAATTTAATATATAATTCTTGGCTCATTGAAAATCAGATTGTATAAATATGAACATTTGTTAAATCTATATGTTGGGTACATGGGTGTTCTATTCTCTGTGCTTTTTTTAAAATGTTTAGAATGCCATTATATTATTAAACTCCAGGGCGATTTATGACTGCCTAGGAATGGGGGATTTCATGTAATACCTTTCTATCCATTTACTGGGTTCCCGGTCTAAGGAAGACGACTTTCCAAGATAGAGGAGAATATTCTTTCATCAGTATATAGAAACACATTTGCTCCTTTCCTAGACTGCCAGTAAATATGAAGAAAACAGAGATGATTTTGAAGAGAGTCATAAAATTATAAATGTTTGGATTTTTTAGAATGGGGAAAAACATTTTGATGGCAATTTCATAGTAATTTACATTAAAATATGAAATCTTAATCTCAAAAGTAATAACTAGGTGGTATGGCAAATGGGAGGTTTGTGGATCCAGAGAAACACTCATATCTTTTGAGTACCTACTATAACCTGTATCATATACTGCTAAAAACTTCTTATCTGTTATTTTAATCTCTTGCCCATTTATACAGTAGGCCTCATCTCTTTATTATAAATTAGGAACTCAAGGCTCTTAACAAAAAAAAAAAAAACTGTGCAGTATCAACAGTAGTACTATTAAAGAAAATATTGTAAAATGTAACATACATTTTTTAGGTTATAAGGAGAAATAATTACTAATGGTGAAAATTCTTAAGCATTGTGATTGCTCACCTATGAAAATTTACCAACTGCTTTTCCTTCTGTGGAAGTATTAAGCTTATTTTTGTGAGGGTTTAGGAATGATTCTGCCCAGAGACAGAGGAGATAGACCACATTAGTTTGCAAAGTTTCTTCTAAGTCTTAAGATCCTATAGTTTGGTATTTTTGTGATCTCAAATGTGATTCTTATTTATTTCCTTTTCTCAAGGTGGATGATATAAATGCAGCTGTGATGGATTTGAAAGAGAAGAACATCCGTAGTCTCAGTGAAGAGACCAAAATAGGAGCACATGGAAAACCAGTGATTTTTCTCCATCCTAAAGACTGTGGTGGTATTCTTGTGGAATTGGAGCAAGCTTGATTTATATTTGCAAGAAACTTAAAAAATTCCCACCTAAATATTCTGAAATTCCCCATCAAATTATACTCCAGCATTGAATCCTTCACACCTTCCGTCACTTAAAAATTCACTATTAAAGGGCACTTTGACTGGATCAGTTATGGGGTGTCTGACTCTTTATCTCAGGGTTGTGCATTCAAACCCCATGTTAATTGTGGAATCTTAAAAACAAATTCAAAATTAAAAACTAAATTACAAAAAGATTTTTTTAATTGTATATATGTATATCAATATATATAACTGACATATTTGTTAATTACTTTGGTTTTTTTTTCTGATTTAGAGGAATCCTTGATTACTAAATACTTAAGAAATATTATTAAAATCATATTTATAGAAATAAATTATTCTTGTCCAAAATGTGATAATTGACTATACAATGTTACTGCGTGAAAGAGTGTGTATATCTGTAGGCATGCACGTGCTTGTGTGAGTGAGGATGCAGTTATGAAAGGACAGCTGATAGTTTCATAGCTACATATTTGGGACTAAGTACTTTCTGAAGATGTTATAGAGAGTTTATTTTACATAAATTTTAGGGTTAAGGATTTTTGGCCTCAAAAGTTTTTGTTCTTCTAGAACAATTCTTGTTTACAGCTTCCATATGGGCAGGTATTTTGGGTGCTAGTGCTAGATATAAGAATAAGAAGTTTTGTGGAACACTTCGTGAGTGATCTAGTGAATGCATAGGTAGCTGATTTTTTTTTTATTCTTTAAATTCAATTTAGTTAACATATACGGTATTATTAGTTGGAGGGGTAGAACTTAGTAATTTGTCAGTTGAATATAACACCCAACTGAGAGGGGCACTTGACGGGAAGAGCACTGGGTGATATGCTATATGTTGGCAAATTGAACTCCAAAAAAAAAAAAATAATTAAAAATATATATATATAACACCCAGTGCTCATTACATCAAGTGCCCTCCTTAATGCTCATCACCCAATTACCTCATCCCTCCACCCACAGCCCCTCCAGAAACCGTTTGTTTCCTAGAGAATAGCATCTTTTATGGTTTGCGTCTCTATATTCATCTAATTTTATTTTTAATTCACTTCCCCTGTTTTCATGTGTTTTGTTTCTTAAACTCCACATATAATTGAAATCATATAGTATTTTTCTTTCTCTGACTTACTTAGGATAACACTCTCTAGTCCCATCCACATCATTGCAAATGGCAAGATTTCATTCTTTTTGATGGCTAATAGTCCATTGTGTGTACTTAACCACACCTTCTTTATCCATTCATTTGTCAATGAACATATGGGCTCTTTCCATAGTTTGGCAATTAGGGACATTGCTGCTATAAACTCTGGGATGCAGTGCCCTTTCAGATCACCATGTTTGTATCCTTTGTGTAAATATCTAGGAGTGCGATTGCTGGGTTGTAGGGTAGCTCTATTTTTAACTTTTTGAGGAACTCCATATTGTTTTCCAGAGTGGCTGCACCAGCTTGCATTCCCACCAACAATGTATAAGTGTTCCTCTCTTTACATCCTTGACAACATCTATTGTTTCCTGACTTCATTTTAGCCATTATGACCAGTATGAGGTGTTCTCTTACTGTGGTTATGACTTACATTTCCCTGATGCAAAGCGATCATTTGTTCATGTGTCGGCCATTTGTATGTCTTCTCTGGAGAAATGAACAGTCATTTCATCTGCCCATTCCTTGACTAGATTTTTTGTTTTTTGGAGTTAAGTTTGATAAGTTCATTGTAGATTTTGGATACTAACCCTTTATCAGATAAGTAATTTGCAAATATCTTCTCTCATTCTGTAGGCTGCCTCTTAGTTTTATTATTTCCTTCACTGTGCAGAAGGTTTTTATATTGATGTAGTTCCAATAGTTCATTTTTGATTTTGTTTCCTTGCCTTCAGTGACCTAATTAGAAGTTGCTATAGCTCTATGAGGTCAAAGAGGTTGCTGCCTGTGTTCACTTCTAGGGTTTTGATGGTTTCCTGTCTCACATTTAGTTCTTTCATCCATTTTGAATTTATTTTTGTGTATGGTGTAAGAAAGTGGTCTGGCTTCACTCTTCTACATGTTGCTGTCCAGTTTTCCCAGCACCATTTATTGAAGAGACTGTCTTCTTTCCATTGGATAATCTTTCCAGCTTTGGTGTTTTATTTTTCAGCATTCCTCTGGCTATTCAAGGTCTTTTCTGGTTCCATACAAATTTTAGGATTGTTCCAATTCTGTTTAAAATATCAGTGGTAGTTTGGTAAGAATTGCATTGAATGTGCAAATTTCTCTGGATAGCATAGACATTTAAAAAATATTTATTTTTTCCATTTAGCATGCTAAATATATCATGCCAGTTCTTTCTGGCCTGCCAGGTCTCTATGAACAGGTCTGCTGACAGCCTTATGATTCTACACTTATAGGTTAAGGATCTCTTGCCCCAAGCTGCTTTCAGGATTTTCTCTTTATCTCTGAAATTTGCAAGCTTCCTATTATATGTCAAGATGTTGACCTATTTTTACACTTGATCTTAGCCAAAAGGCTGAGAAGCAGTGTTGACCTATTTTTGTTGATTTTGCAGTGGAGTTCTCTGTGCCTCCTGGACTTGAGTGCTTGTTTCCTCCCTAGAATCAGGAAATTCTCAGCTATAATTTATTCAAATAACCCTGTCTCTCCCTTTTCATCTTCTGGGACCTCTACTATCTGGATATTATTTTGCTTTATGGAATCAGAGTTCTAGTCTCATTTCATAATCCAGTAGTTGTTTCTCTCTTCCTTTCAGCTTCCTTATTTTCCATCATTTTATCTCCTATATCACTGACTATCTCTTCTGCTTGCTTATGCTCACTTTTAAAACCTCCATCTGGGACTGTATCTCGGTAATAGCATTTTTAATTTCAGCCTAACTAGACTTTAGTTCTTTTGTTTCTACAGTAAGGGATTTTCTAGTGTCTTTTATGCTTTTTTTCAACCCCAGCTAGTATCTTTATAATTGTTATTTTAAATTCTAGTTCAGACTGGATACCAGGGTGGCTCAGTGGTTGAGCGTCTGCCTTTGGTTCAGGTTGTGATCCTGGGGTCCTGGGATCGAGTCCCACGTCAGGCTCCCCGCAGTTAGTCTGCTTCTCCCTCTGCCTATGTCTCTGCCTCTCTCTGTGTCTCTCATGAATGAATAAATAAAATCTTTAAAAATAAATAAATTCTAGTTCAGACATCTTATATCCATATTAATTAAATCTGTGGCAGTGAGTACTACCTCCTGTTCTTTCATTTGGGGTAAATTTCTCTGTCCTGTCATTCTGTCTGGAAAAGAATAGAAGAAAGAGAGAAAATACAACAATAGCCACAATGACAACAGAAACCAGAAAAAAAAAAAAAAAACAAGAAATAAAAATATATTCATTTATATGTGCAAATTTTTTATTTTATTACTTTTTTATGGATTTTATTAATTCATGAGAGACACAGAGAGAGAGGCAAAGGGAGAAACAGGCTCCATGCAGGGAGCCTAAGGTGGGACTTGATCCCTAGTCTCCAGGATCTGGCCCTGGGCTGAAGGCGGCGCTAAACCGCTGAGCCACCAGGGCTATGTGCAAAAATTTTAAAAGATAAAATACAATGAAAGGAAATGACAAATATGTATATATGATGTATATATGTAAAATTAAAAAGAATTGAAAAAATAAAATAACTGAAAAAGTAATAGTGAAAAACTTAGGAATAAGAAAACCCATGGGTATGGTATAAATTGTCATCCTCAAGAGCTGAAGCTTTGCAGTTCTCTATAATCAGAATACTTGGTGTGGGCCAGTTGTTCTTTCTGGTCTTCTTGGGGAGAGGCCTGTTGTGCTGATTCTTAGGTGCCCTTAACCCTGGTGGAATTGCACCTCCCTTGCCAGGGGGCCAAGCTGACTGTAAGCAGCTGCAGATTCTACCCTGTGGCACTGTTTTGCTCCCTGCTGGATCTTAGCACCAATAGGTGGGATGAAAATGGTGGTGTCTCTCTAGCCCTGGAGCTGAAAATTCATAGCCCCCACTCTTCAGCCCTCTCAGAAAAGCAGTCAATCACTCTCATCTCCCTCGTTTCCATTTGAACTCTGTGGTTACATGGCCCATGACCAAGTGGTTTTATTCCAGGCAAGACACTGAGTTTCAAAACCAAAGTTTCTGAGTTGCTTCAGCATGGACCCGAGGTTTTCCTCCTGGGAGAGGGAGAGGGGGGTCCCACCATCTTCTGCCTTTTTCTGGGCCCCTCCTAGGAGAGTAGTAGCAAGATCAATTTGCGGTTTGCAGTTTATGGAAACACAGAGCAGAAAGCTGACACCTAGACTTGCTGTTTTTAGCCAGCTTCCCTGCTCCCATACCCGGGAATTCTGCTGCACTCAAATACCTCCATTCTTCTTGTGACCCAGGAGATCCTGAGACAATGCTGCCACACCTGGAATTCCACCTTACTCTGCCACATAAGCACCTTTAAGCCAGGGATGTACCCTGTTGTAATAGACTTCTAAAAGTTCTGATTTTGTACTCCACTGCTTGTAATACTTTGCAGTAGCCTCCTTTAGCAACCTCTCTCCCCTCCACTGTATCCTCTAATGTATCACCCTGGATTCAAGTCTCCACACTTCCTACCTTCCAAAAAGTGGTTGCCTTTCTATTTGTAGGATTGCAGCAATTCTTTTCTAGATCTCCAATTGATTTCATAGGTGTTTAGAATAATTCAGTAAGTATCTAGATGTATTTGAGGGACTGGAGAAATTTAAGGTCCCCTACTCCTCCTCCATCCTAACTCTTTCCTCCCTGTGTGTGTGTGTGTGTGTGTGTGTGTGTGTGTGTGTGTGTATCAGCAGACACGGAGAAGGCAGTGAATTTGTAGGGTTATCTATCACTTGTGGAACACTACAAGTCCTAGAGGCAGATAGGAAATAAAGAGAAACCCATGGACAGGAAGCTTATAGCCCAGTTGGTAATACTACTTAGTGAAGTAAATGTAAATATGTACAAGGCAATATGAATGAGTTGAAAGAAAAATGAAAGGAATATAGATCTCCGAGAATGGGCTTAGAGGCATATCAGATTATAATATAAGTATCCAATAAATTTCAAGAATCATGGATGGGTGAAATGCA